TGATTGGTGTTGCAAGGGGAGAGATCTGGGGAGGTCTCTCACTCTGCCATGTTTTCTGTTGAAATGCGGCTTATAGCACTAGTCGCCCAGTGGGAATTGAAATGTAACTTACCGGGCTGGCTGCCTTTGCTGCCATAGGAAAGAACACTCACAACAATGGCCACCCTGCTGTGAACACTTGTTTCTGAATCACTGGGAGCTGAGTTAGGCAGCAAGCCAATAATACCTGCCCCAGGCAGTCTGCAGGTTGGGTGGGGCGGGGTCTCAGAGCAACAGTGGCTATCAGATCAAAACAGCCTCTGTTTTGCTGGAAATTTGGTAACTATTGTAAGTTTCTGCAGATGACCCAGATCACAGCAAGACCAACATGCTGTCTGGGACTGGCCCACAGGTCCCCGTGCCCAAGTTCATGTTGGCAGCAGCGATCTGCCTGAACTTATCTCTGAAATGGGGCTCACAGCGATGGCCGCTGTTGCTGGGATAGAAATACTGCTCACAACAATGGCTGCCCTGCTGTGAATACTTCACTCTGAATCACTCAGCTCAGGGCTTGGCAGCCAACCATAAACAACTGCCCCCCCCCGCCCCCCCGCAGTCTCAGACTAGCATCTCCTAAGGGCTCTGTGGGAGGGGTCTGCACAATCAAGCTGGCGTGGTCTGTAGGAGGGCTGACTAAGGCACAATGGTGGCTGCCTTTCCAGCCCTCTTTCTGACTCTAGGTAATGGAGACTTTTTCGGAATGAATCCTGTGCAAGCCTCAGACCCACCGCCGATATCCCGGGTGAGTGTCCGCAGATCAGAAAACCTTTGCGTGGGTCCTTTAAAAGAATGTCTAGGAGCTCAGTCGCCTTCCATCTCACCCAGACGGCCGGAATCCCCTCTAGTTTCTACAGTCAGAGTTATTGGAATTAACTTTTCCCTGGGCTGAGGAGCCCCCAGATAAGACCAGGACCCCTCTCTCCTTCAGGAGAGCCTCTGCAGCCTTGCTATCCCTTCCGGTAATCCTCCACCACCCGCAGGTGCAGGTCCAACCTGATTTGGGACTTTGCCCCTCCTACCAGCTTCGGTGTGGCCCCTTTATATTATCAGACGTAGGAGTTATGATCAGCTGGACTTCAGGTGATTCTCTACCTTGATTATTTTATAACTTGGTTGAAATTTCAATGTGGTTCTGGGAGGAGACGAACTCTGCTTTTACCTAGTCTGCCATCTTCCCAGATCCTCAGAAAGGATTTTATTAGTTTTACCCAACATCGTGGCTCCTGTATCTTTCTCATCCTGGCAGATCATTGAATCTTGATAAGTATCTGCTGAATGAACAAATGAATGAATGAGTACTTGAAGTATAGATGAATAAATTTATGAATGAGTCCCATGTGTTGGATGATGATGGGTTTCAGGCTGGAGAAGAGATAATATAGACTGGGACCCATGAGACCTGGACCCCAAATGGAAAGTGTGGTTGGATGTTGTCTTTATACCTCATTTTCAAACCCAAATATGGACCAGTTACTAAAAGCTTTAAGAGGAAGATTTTCACATTGAGATTTCACACATGTATTCAAAGTGAAATAAACTGCCATAAAAGCAATTGTATCTTTATTTCTGTAAGCATTAAAGAACCAGCTGGTTAAGCACTTGCCAAGAGTGTTGCTAAGTGGGAAAGAAATTCCTGCATTTAAAAGGGGTTGGTCCAGAGAGTACCTGGTTACTTCTAGCTCTCTGAATCTCTGACTCCAGATACTTTTCCCTTTGTTGAGCTGGAGATAACATTAATATCCTTTGCTCTTTCTTTCCGTTAAATATACTATTGGCTGATATGTTTTTCTATTCTACTTTTTTTCTTTCCTGGAAATATAGATGAGGTCTTATCGGAAAACTTTCTGGACTATAAGAACCGTGGAATTAATGGTTCTCATCGGGGCCAGATCATCTGGAAGATTGATGCCAGCTCTTACTTTATGGAACGTGAGTACTTTTCCCACTGTTGCTCAGAACAAAGCAGAATTCAGAACAAAGTTGAATTCTGCTTTGTTCTTCATACTGTTGTATTTTCTCCACTTAAAAATGTGCCATGTAAAAGAGAGATGTAGACTTGATGAGATGCTTAAAAATAGTGAGTAGTGTACAGCAGTTTCACTACTGTTTCAGCCATCCAAAACAGACCAGAAAGATCCTACTTGCAAGAGAAAGTTTTGTTCATGTTCATTCATCAGCTTCTGGACTCAGGACATTTTGGCTCACATTCCTTAACTTTCACTCAATGGCTCCTCCAGGCACTCTCAAACTTTGTGATAGTTGCCCCTTTTGTTTCCTGTTGTCTGGTTTTGGCTTTGCTTGACCCAGTCCTTCATGGCTCCTTGCTCATGGCCCCATGTTGGGGATATTCTTCACTTTGCCCTGATCTGTGCTCTGGTTACAATTCCTCTTTGATTCTTGATCTACTAACATTCCTGGATGTATGAACATATATTTTATTGAAATATTTTCTAAAACTTCTGCTGTCTTTGAGAATAAATCATTTTCACAGTTATAGGAAGATGTTTTTCATAGGTGCTCATACTGGTGCATTTTCCATTGCATGAGAGACTATCTCCATGGGCCTCATGTTTGCCAGCTCAAGGAATGCACAGATTACCTTTAGTCTATAACTCCTTCCCCCTCACTAGGTAATGAGAATGCTAAATGCACAAATCCCTTCATGCATTTTCTGATTTATAGCTGGTATTCTTTCAATATAACACTTTTAAAATAAATCGAATAGTTTATTGTGTTAACTTCTCGATTCTCAGAGGAAGTGATACATGGCCAGGAACCTAAGTTGTCTACTATCATTTGACTTGTGGTTTAAGAACAACTACAACCTCTAGCATGCTTCGATTCCATTTATATTTACTCTTATTTTCATTTATTCATTCAATAAACATTTTTAAGACCTATTATGTTCCAAAGACTAGAGCTTTTTGAAGATAAAAGGCCTAGTGCTTGCCCTTTATAAGCTTATGGTGTCTCTGCTCCTAGAAATGCCCCTTTTTTGCATTGGCACATGCAGAAGGGGTAGACAGTCAGAAAATTTGATACTGTTAGAGGGGACACAATTTTATGGGATGTTGTTGCTGGCCCTTGACTTTGAGATAAGCATAACAAAATTTCCAACAAAAGATTTCCTTTTCCTTAATACTTTTCTCCCTGAGTCTAGATTTTCTCCCCTCTAATCCATGCTGCAGTGATACCAGACAAAATGCCTTAAACCCAATTCTGCTACTATCTGCCCCAAAACCTCGTGGCTCTGCTTTCTTACTACATCAGTTAAAACCTCTCTGTCTAGGTGTCAAGCCTCAAGAAAACTCACCCTTATCCTTCAACACTACCATGCCCTCTTTTGCTCAAGTCATGCCAGTATCTTCCCTTATCTCACAAATAGCATCATTGATCATAAAAAACATGAGTGGGCTTGATTTGGGTATAAAAATAGGCCTCAGCTAGTGGTATCTAATAGGACTTCCCAAATGCCAGTAAGAACCAAAAAAAAAGTTAGAACTTCATTAGCAATGAATATTAGGCATAATAATTGATTGTATGTCCCAATCACATTGAAATTTTTGTGGGAGAGTTCTTCCTTCCTCCATACCTGTTTTCTTCTTTTGGGTTCTAACTAATTGAGAAACACAATTTAGCATCAGAATACAGTATCAGCTCCAAAGGTACATACCTGAACACAACTTGCAAGTTTTATCTTTTTAGAGTCATGAAATAGGTATTAAGGACAATATAAAATCTCATGATGATGTCTTCATTCTGCATGTGCCAATGTGTAAATTGTGTATAAACTAATTTAGCAATAGTGCCATTCTGATCAAGGCAATTTTTTTTAAGATTCCCGTGACATATAGAGCATTTCCTGTATATTCATCTCAAATAAAAAATTCTTTAATATAATTGTCTTCATCAGCAGTATGAAGACAAACCTTAAGTATCATTAGAGGTATCATTATCATATAAAATCACCTATGTAAAATATATAAAATATTGTCATAATTGAGTGAGTGCATTCAAACCTGGTTAAGTAGCAATGTCCTATAGTAAATGGTTTGCCAAATCATATTCAAAACAACTAAAAGTTCAGCACCTTAGAAAAATGACATTTTAAAAAATGTTCTGGTTCAGACTTGAGAAAATCCCACTCCAGAATATACCTATTGGATTAGCAATATCTCAGTGCTTTGGAAAAATGGATAAAAGTGAAATTGAAAAGGTGGATGTTTACATTTGCAAATATATCAAATGAAAGATTAATATACTAAGAATGTATTATTCTGTTCAAATATAATTTTTCAAAAAATAAAAATTTATCAACAAAAAGCTTGAGTTTGTAAATAATTAGAATATTAACTTAGGACATATATATAAATCAAACTAAAGTGCTAAAATAAATTATAGCTTTAGTAGTTGGAATGTATTAAACAGTATAGAACATATTATATGAATTTATATTTTTTAATGTGAAATAACTTGCATTTCAAAAATGTACGATTAAAAAAGTACCAAATTAGAAAATAGGAAATGATTGAATGTACAAAATGTTACAATATGGCTACTCTTCGTTAACATGTCAAAACATCAAAGGTCCTCTTGCTATAATAAAAATACAGAATCCAGGCCATTAAGCAGAAGTTTACCGAAGCTTTGTTGATGACTCAGAAATAAGATTCTTGCAGTCTTTACGTAGTGATAAACATGTTAATCTAATTGGTAAATTGGCTTCCAGAGTAGGTTAACACTGACCCTTCCTCTTTTCACAACCGCATCAGAGTTACAGCTAAACTAGAAAAACAAACAAACAAACAAATCCAACATTAAAAATCACCTAAAGTCTAGCTGAACAAAGTCCTACAACTAAGGATATACAGAAGAAGCCAAGTTGAGACTGGAAGAAGGGGCAGATGCAGAACAAGCTGGTGGTTAAAAACCTTGAGGAATATCTCAGCTGCAGAGGTTTCTCCTGAGGAACAAGAGTTCCCAGCCCCATACCAGGCTCCCCAGCCTAAGATTTCACGGCTGGGAAGAGAATTCTTTATAACTTCTGGCTGTGAAAACCAGTGGAGATTGTGACTAATTGAAACACAGGGCTGCTGAAATGCCAGGAGTTCCTCTTAAAGGGCCTACACATGGACTTACTTGTTGACAGACTCACTTGTCTGAGATTCGGCACTGGAGCAACAGCTAGAAAGGCACTAGGGACATATAGGGAAGAAGTGAATTGTCTGGCTTCAGGATGAGGACTAGAGAGGCAGCTTTCTCCAGACAGAATGCTGGCAGAAGCCATTTTTTCTTTTGTTGAGCTCTCCCCATACCCAGTGTTCAGACACAAGCGCAAGACCTGTTTAAGTCTCCATCAACCTCGTTAACATTGTTTGCCCTGCCCTAGTGATTCTCTGAGACCCCTCCCCGACTTCTGGGCCCACCCAAGCCACTTCCAGAAACTTTTCCATACAAATGGCCTATCTTAGTTCATGCTGCAAACTTTCCTAAAATCTCTCAAAGGCTCACAAACCTCAAATATGCAGAATCTGTCCTTAGCATGCTCCATATCTCTTGCTAAGCAGCACCAAGCCCGGCACTGGTGGGAGCTGGCCTTGGTTCACAGTTTATTCTCCCCCAGGCACCTCCAATCCCAGCACAAGTGACAACCCTCTACAGATCATCTTGTAGCTCATACCAAGTGGTCCCTCATGGGACACAGGCAGTGACTGACCTTGGCCAGGACCAGAGCCCCTCTCAAGAGACCCCAGAACCAACACACTAAGTGGCAGCTTCAGATCACACCAGAGCATCACCCAATCACTTCCTTAAATGACACACCCAAGGGAGTCCCTGCTCTATACAGTCAGCTCCTCTATTGTGTCGGGGCCAATCCTCACAACCAATCAGCCTGAGAGTCAGTCCCTCCTATTGATGTGCAAACAGCAACCAAGGCTCTACAACAACGGAAGGGCACACAAAACCCCCACAAGTGACATATCTGGAGCGTCTGACTCAGATTATCAGAGAGACTGTACCACTGGGCCCCACAGAACACCTACTGTATAAGACCACTCTCCTAAGACCATGAGACATAGCAGCTCTACCTAATACACAAGGTGGGGGACTAGGGGGGCGGCAGCCAAAATGATGAGACAAGGAAAAATGTCCCAAAAGAAAAACAGAACAGAGATCCAGAAAAAGCTAAACAAAATGGAGACAAGAAATCTACCAAATACAGAGTTCAAAACACTGGTTATCAGGATGCTCAATGATCTCAGGAAGATCATTAACAAAGAGATAGGAAACATAAAAGATGACCCCAAAGAGGCCCACACCAAGACACATTATAATTAAAATGCCAAAGTTTAAAGACAAAGAGAATTTTAAAAGCTGAAAGAAAAAAGCAGTTAGTTAATTAAAAGAGAGATCCAATAAGACTGTCAGCTGATTTCTCAACAGAAACTTTGCAGATCAGAATGAATTCGCATGAAATATTCAAACTGATGAAAAAAAAGAACCTAGATGAAATATTCAAACTGTTGAAAAAAAAGAACCCAGCAAGGCTATCATTTAGAATCAAAGGACAGAAAAAGAGCTTCTCAGACAAGAAAAAGCTAAAGGAGTTTATCACCAGCAAATTAACAATATAAGAAATGTTAAAGGGACTTCTTGAGGAAGAAGAATAAGAAGAAGGAGTGAAGATGAGGGGGAGGAGAAGAGGAGAGGAAGAATAAAATATAGATAATAAAATATTAATAACCACATATCTATCAATAATTACTTTAAATATAAATTAATTAAATGCTCCAATCAAAAGACATACGGTGGCTGAACGAATAAGAAAACAATAGCCTTACATATGCTTTATAAAAGACCCACTTAGATTGAAAGACACACACAGACTGAAAGTAAAGGGATGGAGAAAGATATTTCATAAAAATAGA